GAGTTCAAATAAAAATCTCATAAACTTCACATTGCCCGCATACATATTATATATATATATAATCTATATAGTTATATTTTGTTTATATTTCTTATATTTTACGTATACTTAGTGAGCTTATCAGCCTTAAAGCTTCACAATGTGCATATTTTAAATAATGAGAGAATTAACATTATTTCGCATAATGTTTACAGATATTGATTTGATTGAAAATCTTTGTCAACCATAATACCTTCTATGCCAAAAGCTTATTGGCTTAGACTGGCCTTTGTTTTTTTATGCAGCTTTACTGTTATACATGACATAGTTCTGGCCTTCATACCAATCACAATCATGATGATTGGTCTTTACCATTATCTAAAAAGAATAATAGTTGACCACTGATGTCTGCATATATATAAAGGTTAAACTTGTCCAGAGAAATATGAAAATGAAGAAAACTGTGAAAGATAAAGATTTAATAAGATCTAAAGAGCAAAAGAAAAATTACACTTGAGTCTGTCTTTAAGTGATAGATAGTTCCAATAATAAATATATTTTTTACTAGATTCATCAGAGAAAAGTCCAAATAATGATAGAGATTCCATAGGATACATGCACTGGTATTGAATATTTTGAATAAGTGTTAATATCAAACTACCCTTGGGGATAATCTACCACTGAACGTGTGTAGACTGAGAAAAGGCAGAATAGAAAAGTGATGTTACTGATTGAGGCCAAATAAAAAGTCAATGTTCATCAAAATTATCAATGGAGATTTTGGTAAAACAAGAAATAATTATCCATTGGGACATAAACTTGTTTCAAAATATTTCCTTTTGTTTTCTTAATTACACAAGGCCTAAAAGTAATTTAAACAGTAATAAAAAAAAAATCTTTTAACTTCTACAGCACAACTCTGTAAAGCATTTTATAATTTTAAGTAGCTCCAATCAACTCTATATTACAAATGAGACTCGCAGACCAAATAGAAATCTTATGCTTACGACATTTCTGCCACAATCATATATAAAAAACATATGGTGTATTTCCCAAATGGTAATAATAAATAAACAACTGTAAAGCTATATTTTTATATCCTAAACTATAGCTATCAACAACCTGAATGTAAATTAATCACATTATAGAATACCTATATTAAATAAATTTAAATGTTCTATGAGTTAAAAACACTGTTTTATGTGCCCCCTTATCTGAAGTTTTATCTACTTACAAGTACATCAGCTTTGCCACTTAGTCCCTTCCCATAGTCGTCAGTTGCAATGACTTGAAACTTGAAGTAGGACCTCCTCATATTATGGAAGAGCATAGCAGTTTTGATAAGCCCTGTATATGTTTCCACCACAAATCCTTCTTTTCCCTCTTTAATTGGTGGTATTATGAGTCTGTATGCCATGACACTATAATTGCCAGTATCTTTATCAGTAGCCTAGGAGGGAGAAAAACACAGGTTATAAATAATCAGTAAAAAAAATAACTTTTAGTAAAGGATTTATTTATTTATGTTTGTAAGAATGATGTTCCTTGTGTAGTAATAATATAAAAAGTCTTTTTTTTTCTGGATATTATATAGATTTATCGACTTTATGTCCACAGGGTCAAATGGTTGTCATTAGAATGATAACTACTGAACTGTGAATTAAAGAACATAGACACTAACAGAGTCCAGTCCATGAATCAGGTGTTTTGAATGGCATGTCAAATGGGTTCATCTCTGGGCTGTGGTCCAATTTGGTTTAAGGGTGGGATTGATTATGTACTTAATCATTGCTTTGTGTATAAGCATTGTATATGATTGTGTATATGTGCTTTTTATCTAACCTATTTCCTAAAGGGAAAAACAATGAAATAAACATATTTATACTCAGTGACAATAAAACAAATCAAAGTTCAGAGCTTTTAACCAATAATCTCAGATATGCATAAAGAGATTCTAATCAGTTAATGCCATGTCATAATTTGAGAGGGTTAGAATTCTACCACAACTTCCTTTTTTATTATCTTGTATCCTGATTAACCATATTTATTCTTGGTGGTAGGTGCTTATGACCTACATGTTAAGGTTTTTTAATATTCATAATTTTAAAAAAGTAAATAGTTGCTTAGTATACGTTTGTGTGTGTGTGTGTGTGTGTGTGTGTGTGTGTGTTTAATAAAGCTGTGAGCATAATACATTAGGCTGGCTTTATGGCTTCTACTTCAGGAAAATTTTTCAGAATGCCAATTTGAAAATTATTTCATAGTAAAATATTTAGAAGCAGAATTAATCTTAGTGAATTAATACAAAGCTATATATACCCTACTCATGAAACTAGATATGTAAAGGTTATGTTTTTATTACTATTTCCATTATCTGATTATTCTTAGTTTAACCAGTGACATTACTATTAAATGTCATGTATCAAGTATTTATGTTTTGCCATTACAATACTAAAAGTTCTACAAAAGTAATCATTTTTAATAAAATAAAAACTCTCAGAGGAATGTATTATTCTAATTATATGTATTAGTGCTGTTCAATAGAACTTTCTGTAATGATGGAAATGCTCTAAATATGTTCTGTCCAATACAGTAGCCCTTAGCCACATATGACTATTGAACACTTGAAACAAGGCTAATGTGACTAAGAAACTGAAATTTTAATTTAGTTTAATTTTAATTAAAGTTAAGTAACCAAAGGCTACATAGTAAGCGTTTAAGTTGGGATATAATAACAACAATAGTAAATAATATAAATGTGTATTAAGATGCAGCATGAGCCTGTCTCTCTAGCTTCAAATTTGATATATGTGCTTAACCTGTTAGATAAGGTCACTTAAAAACCCCAGATATTTCATTTCACTTCAGGATAAAGTATTTCTTGATTTTTCTTAGAAGTTAAAATTCTCAGCATTAGAATAGGATAAGTTCTGACTTGTCCTATTGTCCTATCTCTTTAGATGATCTGGATGGTTTACATGACAGAGCTTAGTTTTGGCATTAGAGGAATAGTAATTAGATTTCAACATTAGGCCACATTATTACTTAAAGAGAAAAAAAGAACAAAGAAAAAATAGTTATCAAAGTTCTTCTTTTTAAGATTCGAACTTCAGAGTTTTTATTCATTTAACAAAGCACAGCATAAAAAGTAAAAAGCACATTTCCAACTAAAGTTAAAATCAGAGTTTGAATCAAATAATCAAAGACATATCTTTTATATATCATGAGCTAATTTGGGACTAATGCCAACTCACTCAAAGATTTGGTTCAATATTATCCTTTAACTTATGATTAACACGGCCATTTCCCCTAAAATAAACTTTTTATTGCTAATGCAAAATTTATTGAAGTATAAGAAATATACACCAAAAAATGCAAAAATCTTAAGTGTACAGCTCAATAAAATTCTGCAAAATATACATATCCATGAGACCAGCATCTGCATCAAGAAATACAACATTAACAGCATCTCAGAATGTCTTTCATGCTCTTCCAGCCATCCTAGCTTCCCAAGGAAACCACTATCCTAATTTCTAACACTAAAGATTAGTTATGCCTATTTTTAAACTTTATATTGATGGGGTCATAATATATGTTCTGTTTTCTGTCTAACCTCTTTTACTCAATTTTGTGTTGTGAGATTCTAAACTTTTATATTTTAAAATGGACTTGGTAACAACACAATCACATTTAGAAAAGAAAAGGTGGTTACAATAAAATCATTGTGATTGCTTGGTACATTAAGCTTCTTTGCATAGTTCTTACTGATTAACATACAATTTCAAAAAACAAATAATTTCACTTTATTGTATTGCTAATTTATTAAATTAGGATAACCACAAAATAGCCATATTTTATTTTACATATTAAGGTGCTCTTTTAACATACCTTTCCTGAAACAAAAATCATTTAATGCAAAAGTTTGGGTATGGAATGAATAATTATAACTCAAGAATATCTATTTTCTTTTATAATTTTTCATAGTACATTTGAACCAAATTGTCAAAATGAGATACAGGATTTTAAAAAATCATGTTTACTAGACCTTTTTTCCAAAATTTTAAAACTCTACCTGTTGGTAATAATAACTCCACTTTAAATTTCTATTTTTTGAAGGGGCTTGATCCTCTTTGAAATATCAAAGTTCTCATTTCAGAAAACACTTATTGAGGATGGTTGACAGAATCATTAGCATTTTTTCAAATCTCCTTGCTCTCTTCCAAGTATATATAGTGAAATACTGGTAGGTTAAACAGTGAATGATAAAAATCCCAATAAGTATTATACTTTTAGAATTTTCAAGTTTAACATTGAATCTATCCAATTTTTAACAAACAATGGATTTAAGACTGAAACCTATATATAAGATGTGACTGATAGATGTTGGATATGTATATTACAACCATACACAGGTAACAGTGTTATTATTATAAATCAATTAAAAATACCATGCGTTTAAAAACATACCAAGTCACAAAAAATACCGACAACAAAATTAAAAACACAATTTTTAATCAGGTTCAAGATGTGAACAAACTAAGAGAGTTTCAGCATAGAGTATATTGTATCTATTTGTTTCCTACTTTTAATAATTTTAATTTTGCTTGTTTGTTTTTTGTATTGCATTTTGGAAAGAGGAAGACTCAAAAGTCAGATGTGATTTTAAAAAAGTCACTTAGAGTTTCAGGTTTCCTTATAAAATGAGAATATTGATTAACAAATATTATGTTGAGATATTGTATAGCCAAGTACAGTATAATGTCATAATTATCTAAATTTTTATCATATCAAAAAATTACATTTTTCCACATAGGCATTTACCAATCAATATGCAACTTGAAGCACAAAACCAGGTAAAACTCTTATTACTTCAGACATATTATCATAAGATTATAACTACTTTAATACAATACATTAATCAGTTTTTTTTCTTAGCTCAAGATGCACATACTTTGTTCTCCTAATATATATGCATATATATATATATATATATTTTTTTTTTCTTTTCCTGGTCTCCTTATTGCTTCCTGGTCACTTTTGAATCAACCATGCACAACCACTCTCTCAAGTGAAATCCATGCATTTATGTGTAGTATGCATTTACCTTTCCTTGTTGCTGAATATAATGAGGCTGTAGGTATCTAGTTCTTAGTCTACCTCTTTAACTTCACCTTCATTTTGAATGAATTTCAATGTTTATGTAGATGACACACCCATTTCAAATTCCTAGGCATGAAAATCTTTCAATTTTTGAACTGACTGCATCAATTCAACTCCAGTTTTTTGGTTTATGGAGATATTGTTCCTAAGAAAACACTGAAGCTCTGGAAGCATAAACTTTAATGTATAAATTTCTGACCACAACTTCCCATTGCCTTCTTATTCAGTTAAGAGCACTTCTATAATAACAGTAAAATTTTAATTCCAAAATATCTTCAGTGCTCTCACTACTTCAGGGCTTACATCTCTTCCCTATCCATTATAGATTTCACGGTCACCTCGTTCTCATTTTTTCTCCTTCCATACCTGGAACTTCTTTCTCTTGAATCAATTTAATGATCAACCTACTCTTGGGTGACTGAAGAGTAATGAAAGAAATTAAATAATCAGGCAGACTAATGCTACTATGAGTCCATGATCTCTGAGTGCAACTGTGCTTTTATTTATTTGGAAAAAAATTGTTTTGTTCTTTATCTTGCTCCAAAAGTTCACTCTTTTCTTCAAATCGCATATTTTTTCAGTCTCCTCCAGTGAAGTTATAATTCATATAAAAATTGAGGATACCAGTGTGAAATCTCTCAACTTCTCGGCCTATAACTATAAAAGTACCTCTATTTGTACTTATTGTCTTTCTTCAAATCTCAGAGTAACAAAGTGACTCTTCTGTTATGAAGGTTCTTATTCCTTCATCTGAATCTCTCCTATATCTTCAATGTCTAATGCTTCATCAGCTCTGTCTGTACTTCCAATCTTTTCCTCTACAGACTATATGACATCTACCTTTCTCTCATTAAAACAAAACTAAAATTTTCTTTTACTCTATGCCAACCTCAGATCTATTTCTATAATTTTCATATCTATTTTTCACAGTTATGTTCCTCAAAAATATTCCTACAATCATTGCCTCCAATTTTTCACTTCACAGTCATCCCTTAATAGCAGCTGAAATTCTGCTGCTATCATGCCTTTGAATCTGTTAAAGTCAATGATTGAGGTCAGCTCAGCCTCAGATCAATTATCAATCCAGTGCTCTTTAAACGACAAAGAACATTTGCATTATTTGTGTGATATTATTGCTGATGCTGTAAGCTAACATATATTGAACACTTAACAGTTTTCAAAGTGTTATGGAAATATATACGTTATCATATGACAACCTTTTACTGATTAAATTTTATTATTATTTTATAGGTGAAGAAATGGAGGCACAGAGAGATTAGTAATTTTCTC